AAAGATAGTACAAACAATTGTAATACGAAAATATAAAGTAGGAAAATAACATTCAAACCTGGGGCACTGATCCATCAAGCTCTTCCAATTTAGTTTTCAACAACCGAACTTCATCCTCTCTCATTATGCCATCTTGACTACATGGAAAGCTACGACTGTTTAATATAAACATTCATTTTAGTTTGACTTAAATGACTAATTATGTAACACCCAAAATTTAAAAGAAATGTAGAATCAGATTTTGGGTTAAATTGATCAATTTGAAACTATCAATTTGATCAATTCAGAAGTTTGAAGCAGAATATATAAATAGAGAAAAGTCCAGGGACTAAAGTGCAAAAACGGAAAAAAAAAATGGGGAATTCGAGTTTAGCTTTTCCGAAAACGAAGGGAGAGTATTTGGCAAGTCAGATCTTCGTTTCTTAACCCTAATATGTCGTATATATATATGCGTTTTAAAGCCCCAACAAATTAGAAGCTGAATCTCTTGTCAATTTAGGGTTTTTGGTGAGTTTTCGAGACCCTTCTTCACCATCTCCGTTTGATCAATTTTTGGGAAACTTGTGAACTGGTTTTGATGTGTCTTAGGTTGATTGAGTTTCTCCGTATTAGTGCACTAGTTCTGGGTTATTTTCAGCGGTGGTGGTAAGCTTTTTCTTCTTCCTTCTTCAATTTTTCTCCATAGAAGTGAGGTTTCAAGCTCTTTAATGGTGGATTTCGTTTCAGGAAGAATTAGAACTTGATCTACACCTCGTTACAAATCTCTCGTTCATACGGATCCAACGCCACTGAGATCTCATCAAACGGAGGTCGGAATTGATCGGAATCTGATTGGTAAATATTTCGATTTTGTTGATTCATAGTCAAATCGGGATTTATTTAAACCGGTTCTTGATGTTTTGACACCCGTTTTGGGATGTTCTGTCGGTGTAGAATACTCTCCTGAAATCAAATTTGGAATTGGTTGAGTTTTGAAGTTTAACCGTTCGTAATTCGGACCGGTTCGGATGCTTTTAGACCGGTTTTGGAGAATCTGATACCTGACTATGATTTGTTTTGAAATTATCTTTCCGATGATATATTCTACGGATTTTTCTGATAGACGGTTGAATTTAGGTGAATTAATTGGTGGTTTTGGACGTGTCTAGAATTGCCGTTAACCACTCTTTCAGTCCGAAAATCTTTCCAGGTGAGTTCTAACTCCCTTATTAGTTATTATATATTTGTATAATATTTAGGAATATGACAGAAAGAAGAAATGCATTATTTGTCTGTTTGATTCTGAAAATTAATTATTTGTGTTAGTGTTATTATTCTAAATATGATTCTGGTGATGAAATATGTTATTCTGTTAAGACTGGTATCAGCATGCTATTCTGATTTAGCTAGCTCTATTGAGCAATCTGTGGCGGCCGGCATCGCCAACAGATGTATTCTGTATTATGTTAGTTTGATAGTGATATTGAAGTCGGTTAATGCCGTGGACCGTACTTCCTTATCACCTCGTTAGGGGCCAGCATCCCTAGTCGACCAATGCTAGGGTTGTACCATTCCGACGTTGCATTGTTGGATACCTGGTCGTTCTGTTATGATGTTATTATTCTGTCTGATGATATTATTCTGTTTTGATTATTTGATTATGTATTTCTGATAATATATGTTCGGTTGTGATTTATTTTATTTATAATCAATTGAATTGGAATTTATGTTTGTTGGTACCAACACGTGAATATTTTTCTCTGCAGGATCAGACCGTGTTGGTACTTGTTCGTCGGGTTTGTAGTCTCACTGGGCGATTTTTCGCTCACATAAGTTCTGATTCCGTGCAGAGGACATTGAGGAGGAGCAGCGTGCAGCTGAGGTTTAGAGTTTGTTTTTCAGTCGTAGAGCGAGACTTGGTAGATTTTCCAACGTTTAATTTATTTTGTTTTTGTGATATGGAGTTTTACGAGATTTCAAACATTATACATTATGGAAATTTTAGTATTTTATTTTATTATTTTTAGTAATGCTTCCAAAAATTCTTTTGAATTTTCGGGGCGTTACAAATTATGTTTATAACAAATTTCAGCTATAAAAAAACTTACATGAAACGCTGAATGACATTGTCAGGAAATGTGGGATCAATGTAAAGCCTAGAACAACCAAATGCACTCATAAGACAAGGTGATCCTATAACAAAGAATTCATCCATCAATATAAGTAAAATAATATTAAGAACAAATCTTGTCAAAAAAAATAATCTTTAAATGTAAAGTTTGTATAGACATTTCACCATTAAAGTTAGATATCCTCCAGAAACGCAGTACAATAACAATTGGCTGGTAATTATAAGTAGGTAAACTTATTTTCCTATACCACTTAACCACAAACATCTGACAACACCTCTCCACAGCAACACATTTTGCTATCTTACCCCTACATGATATAAGTTAAAATGATTATATATCATGTGAAAATGTGCCCAAACAAATAAATATATAAATACTTACATGTTGTCCTTGATGTCAAATGTTACATATCTTGACTTATAATCAGTCTCTCCTTGACGACATACATATGGAAACTTCAAAATATGAGAGACATTTGATACAACTCCAATAGCATATAGTTTTTACAAAAACCCAAATAATAATCATATTAGCATTTTGTCAGATTATTTACATGGACTAATCAAATATTATTTATCTATGCTTACAAGTAACATATTCCATGTTCTCGATAAGAGGACGTTCCACTTTTTTGGAAGATACAAAATCAAAGTAGTTGCTGAATGAGCGAAGACTAATAGGCCACATAGTTGTTTACCAAATAAACAAAATCTCGAAAGGACTCATTGAATATTTAGTGGGTTTTGTAGATCTAATTACATGAAAGTTAGTCATGTAATACCATTTACCTTCTCTAAGACCGTCCTGGAAATTGTATAAATAATTTTCCAATGGAATAGTAGCATCGATTTTATTGGCTTAAATTAAAATAAATATCAAATCAATATGTTGTTTTAGTGAATGATATAAACTAAACAATTATCAAAAAGTAATCGTTAACAAATATTAAATTTTGCAATACCTTTTCGTCTGCAAGAATCAGTGTTGGGGTTCACGTAAAGAGTTTGGATGGTGATTCCAAATACTCAAAATCTTCACATAAACTGTCCATCGATCTCTCGGGAGATTGAAGTCTGAAATATAGTCGATAGTTCCCATTTGATATTGCCAATTATTACGAACGGGTGAAATTTATAATAGAGAGATTAGTGATAAAACCTGATTGTAGTCTTCATATATATATATATAGACAGAACTTTCTTTAGGTTTGAAGTATTTTTATTTTTTAATTTTAATAACTGAAATTATATCTACTAACAACCGTTTTAAAATAATATCTAAACATAACTAAAGAAAATTGAATATTTATAAAATAGATTAATTGTACATTATGGTAATGATTACTTTTGTTGACAGTTTACATATATTTTGGTTATCAAGATTTTTTTAATATATTATAGCCTTATAGAACTTTAATGATGTTGTAAAAGGAATTTATTGTTTAGCTTCTATTATATAAAATGATGATTTAAAAAAATATGAGACTAATAGGTAAATATTCTTAATTTTACGAAGAAACAGTAAAATAAATTTATTTGAAATTATAGATAGAACAATAGATAAGCAATGATCGAAACATTTTAAAGAAATAGAAAATAAATCTCTCTAAAAGAATCATCTATTTTTATTCTTCAAAAACTCCTCGAGCAGCACAAGCTTCTTGATATGTCTCATAGACGACACCTTGAAACGTCTTGAGCTCTTGGTCACTTCTTGGACCTGCTATAAAACGCATTAGTAATTTCAAAGGAACATTTCTTTCAATTTTAGGTGAACTATAACTAGCCCAGCCATTCTATGTCGATCTTCTCCTCAGTTGAAATTTTTTTTCTTTCCTATTCCAAGCAAAAATCTGTGCCACTTCAGAGAATGTTAGGTTCCTAACTGCTGAATTATAAATATTAAGATCGAACCATGCCAATACCATAGGATCGTTTACTTCTTTTGAAAATATATCTCTTGGCATTGTTTATTTATTATTATTTACTTGGTAATGTTTTATTTTTTAGTATAGACTTACAATGGAAATGACTGCTGAGTGATTGTAAAGAAGTTATGCAAGTACTGTATATATATAAAAAATACTTATGCCTTTACTCTTAGGGTTTTCATTAACAAATAAAATTTTGTTACATTTAAAACTAATAAATAGAAAATATTATCTACGCTAGATTTGGAATAAGCAATAATAAGTTAAGAAACTGTTAATTTATAAAAGATCTCCTTCAATATTTTTTTTATGGTAATGCATGTCAAAACATATTTCCTATGATTAGAAATAGTAAATTTACTATTAAATTTTATCATTTCCCAATATAGGTAAGAATATTCCGCAACTATAGGTAACTAAATAATGTTAGTTATAATTGTAGTAATATTTGTTCCAATAACAAAACCAATCTTACCTATATTTATATAAAAATTATATTACTTCTTAGGAAAGATCCTCATATCCTAATTTACTTACTACATTTTTCGTAATTGGCATCCATTATTATGATATTGTATCCTAATTTAAAATTAGATATAAAATTATATAGAATTTTGGACTCTAACCTACGAACACATCTATTTATAAAAACATGTAATTTTAATATAATAGATTCACATTATGTTTATGCATATATGAGTTCTATATATAAGCCTTTCAAATTAAAAAGCAAAGAGGTATTCAACTTTCAAATTTTAAGTTTCCTATATATTATAACTGTTATGTGTTACTCAATATAGCACACTTACTCAGAAAATATTTGAATACTTACACAATAATGACTCAAAAACCATAGATGGGCAGCAATATTTATTAATTAATTTAAAAAAATACAAAAAAAACAGAAAGTTTGGAAATAACTTAATGAATATGAAAATATAAAATCCTAAAGTCAACCATACAAAATAAAACTTGCTGCCCACTACATGTTTCATTATTCTTTAAGCCCTCCGGAAACCTCTTTCTCAATAGCATCACTGATCGAGGTCACACAGATCTTTTTTGTAGTCGAAGAAGAATTCTCATCAGTATCTTCAGTGCTGTTGTTTGATCGCTTAGATGAGGGGGTAGTGGAGGCAGTTCCTATTTGATCGTCAGTCTCATTGCTATTAGATTTAACATCTTGATCCTATAAAATAATTAATGTATAGAATTACATAATAACTAATCAAAGAATATATACTTACTATATGAGATTTAAGATAAGTATATAATATATCTACCTGGTCAACGGAGATCAAAGAATTATGATCAATGGGAACATTAGAATCTTGAGGAGGGTCTACATGTTCTGCATCATCACCCAATTCGACATAAGAAACTTTGTAAGTATCATTCCCACCATGTATATTGTCCTTATCAATGTTGATCAGAAACTGAAAAGTTTTTTCAACCAAACTTTTCAAACAATCAGGCACATTCGTTGGATCCTGAATCTGTTGTAGAAAAAAAGAATAAGACTATTTAATAGCTCTAATAAATATTTAAATATTTAAAACGTATATTAGTTAGTAGCACTACCTCGTCATACACCCCATTGAAAATTTCATCAACGTTCTGATTAATAATCTTGGGAGCACTGTTATCAAACATCATACACTTAAGCTCACCAGAACTATCCATCACATCAAGAATCAACTTGAACCTACGAAAAAATAATTCAAAACAAAGTAATTAAATAAACAAATAAAAGATATAACATTAATTAATTGTATCACACGTTACCTTGGAATAACCTTTGAATGACTTTCATTGCACGTCTTACACCAAAACAAAGCTTTCTTGGACTTGGAGACGATTTCATTTTCTTTTTTGGGTACCTTAAAGGCAGTGTTGGTACACTTATTACAAACAAAGTAATAGAAACCAAAATTCATGTCAATGTTGAAGATGGTACACATGATTCTGAATTTCGCCTCCTAAATAAAAGAAAGAAAAATTGTTAAAAAATATTTACGAAATGTACTAAACATAACATTAAAAAAAGTATGAGTTACTAACATCAGTCTCGTCGAGAACCTCAGATATGGTTCTTCGGAAAAACCTGTTGAAATACTCAGCCTTGCCAACCATATGAGTTACTAACATCAGTCTCGTCGAGAACCTCAGATATGGTTCTTCGGAAAAACCTGTTGAAATACTCAGCCTTGCCAACCATTCTTTGTTGCTTAGGACGCGTTTCTTGTAGCATCAAGATGACTCCGTCCTTCGGAAGACTATCATATTCTTTTTACGTAAATATAAATATTTAATAGTAGCAAAAATACATATTTCAAATCATATTTACCAGTTAACAAACTCTGTTACCTCCTTGATATCCTCCGAGTTGATAAGCAATTTGGACACATCAAAAGCACTTGCTATAGAACGCACACCTATAGTTACATATTTAACATAGATTAATGTAAAAGTATTATTGTAAAACATAATATATTACTTTGTTACCTTTGAATGAATTGATCTTCGCGCAGAACGTATCAAACACGTCACCACAGTGTCCGCAGCATTCTCACATGCAGCAAACATGGTATCAGCAAAGTTCTCCCAAAGAATACACATCATACGTTCGTCGCTAGGTTTGCATTTTAAAAAAAGGTTATATTGTGTAATATCAATAGGAAAAAAATAATAGATAGTAATACTTTGTATTTCTCAGTTCAACTTCAAGCCGCTTTGATCTTTTATTATTGACTTCTGAAACCTTTATGGATCCACAAGTCACAACCTGACCAAGAACGTCTATTGAAAAGAAAATAAACAATGAGAAACATTATTTTTGAAACATATTTGGGAAAATT